CGGGCCTCAGAGAAAGAGAGAAGCACGCTGCTGTCAAGCGTGTCTCTACATTGGACCTCCTCTCAACCTAAGGACACAGTGGGCTACTGTATCTGCATACTGAAGGGGGGGGGGGCAAAACAGATGGGGATGGGGCAAAGAGCCGAAAGGGCCACATCTGACCCATGGGCTTGGGTTTGCCCATTCCTGTGTTAAAGCATACATTCCAATATTTGTTTGCTTGGTGCATCCTTACTTTCCATTAAAATTCAAAATTTAGTATATTTCTAAAGTTTCAATCCTATACTTGTTTACCTCGGAGGAGATCTTAAATATTCAGTCCAGGTTACATTGAATTAACTTGAAAATTATTCATTTGCTGGAATGTAAATAAATAAAAAAAGGGCATGAAAACATTTTCATGCTAATCCAATATAGCAAATATATATTTAGTAATTTTTTTAAAAAATGTAAAAGCTGCAGTTCCTGTTTATATATACAACACAACTTTCTGAGAAGTCTTGAGCAATAACAGTTAAAATGTTTTTAGACAGAACTGTAGATTACATGTATTTTATGACCTTTCATTAACTTTTTTAAATAAAGGAAAACACTTAAAGAGGAAATGAAGCATGTATGCATTCATTTAACTTGATGGTGCAACAAAAACAGGAAATTCAAAGTTGTCATCCTGTCCTCAGCGTAGCTTTTGGTTTTTTTTAGTAAGCTAGGAAAAACAAGCATTTTCACTTTCTCTTCACTTTGTACCCTATTCTTAAATTTTAAAGCTAGTGTGACTGTTCAGATTTGTTTCTGCTCCATTATTCTAAACAATCAATATTTCTTTTTTTTCCCCCATTGATCTTCTAAGAACATAAACTCTCATTTGGAGGAGATGTGCCTAACTTGTATTAGACACACAGGCTGGTATCAATATTGTAACAAGTTACCTAATAAGTATTTTTGGAAAAAGTTACGTTTTTCTCACCTAAATAGATTCTGGACTCCAATTAGTTATTAGAAACCTGTTCATTTGATTTATGTCCATTCTTTCCCTCAAGAACTCAAGAACAGGATCTGATGCAAGCCATGACTGAGGATATAAATTTCCTTTTCCTTCTTCACCACAAGATAGTAAGATTGGGGGGGGAGGGCATACTGATTTTTGGACATTTTGATAAATGTCACATAACTGAAACCTAGTATCTACAGCTCTGTTGTATGGACTAGTACATTTGATGAATTGTTTGTGTTTCTGCAGCCTGCCTTTTGTTTTTGTTCTCATTCTCTGTGTGTGCTTTCCTTCATAAAGGGAGAAGATGTTAATGTGTACAGACATTTTTTTGTATGAATTGTGGAAAATCTATGTGCATGGGGTGGGAGGGAGCATTAAGTTTTAGTCTTGCACTGGTGGTGAGATATTTTACAGGTTTTCATCCAAAATTGTGACAAGATGTTTTTGTTCACTTGTACCTAAAATTAAACAATAGCAACAACAACAAAAGTTAGAACATACAGATCTAAATCCAATTGCTAGTTCTAAGTAGGACAGATCAATTGAGTCCATGTAACTTGCATGAATGTTACTTGTCAGATTCCTTTAGATTCATGGGTGTACTCTAGTCCAGCAATATTGGTGGGTATTGTGATTCCCATCCAGGATTTAGGTCACAAGGAATAAAAATAGATTTAGTACATGATGTAAAACAAATCAATATAAGAAAATACAGTCCACGTCAAGTGAAAAGCTCCAGCAAAGGATTCAAGGTAATCAAATTCCAACTCCCTCCCTGGACAGTCTACATATATAAACCTCACTTGCCTAATTTCCAACAGACCTCACAACCTCTGAGGATGCCTGCCATAGACATGGGTGAAACGTCAGGAGAATGCTTCTGGATCATGGCCATACAGTCCAGAAAACTCACAGCAACCCACTACAAAAACAGACTTTGTAAATCCAGTTGAATGGGTCATCAGCTGTCTGCCTTGTACCTACTTAATTTCCTTACAACAGTGAAATGTGTATTATTTATATATTTGGATAAACTTCTGTATGCTTTCTTTTGACCTCTGCTAGTGCACCATACTGGGACCTTTGGTGCATTATAATAAATAGCAAGTACTTCATAGTGACAATTGCATTCTATATGCAATTTCTAAGCCTTTCATAATTGACCACATATTTTACGCTTTTTCATTATTGTCTCGGTAATGTCAAATGTAACACTTCTCAGTCTGTGGCCAACATTCACAAACCTTCTTATTACAATAGGACTTTTAATATTTTGTTTTCTTAAGTAGTATATACTCTTTTTATTTCATCTCATAGACAAAAAGCTTCTGATTTAAAATTATATTTTTACATGTGTCTTCAGAACAAAATGAGTGGTACTTGTTTGTTTTATTTACCTATTTCCATCCTATACTATCAGGATCTCTGAGAAGATCCATGATCCCAATAAACTCAAACAAATGGGTTTGCCTATAAGTATATCATTATGTAAAATTGCAAAACACACTCAGATATGATGATAAAAAAAGCAAAGCACTCATACCCAACATAAAATATTATTTTAAAAACCCTTGAGACACATCTTAAGGGCTTAAAATTGAAGAGGCTACTTTGCTTTGCTGAACAATACATTCTGGAAATAAGAGTGTCATCATCACTGTAGAAAATGTATGCTACCTGTTTGGATTTCCTAACTCAAACCTAACAATTGGTCTCAATGAAAGATGGTCAGTTTCAGTTGAACTGCTGATAACAGAGATCTGTAAAGCTGCCAAGTAGATTCCTTTAGTATTTTTAAAGCATAAGGTTGACATATGCTGAGTGCCAACATTCCCATAGAAAGAGAGAAAGCAAACATTAAATATGTTTATGCAATATTCAAGGCTCTTATCTTCAGCATAGTCTAAGTTCAAGAATGCTTGTGTTATCAAGAGAATGTGTGAGGGTGTTCACACTTAGCATTTAAATGCCACTGCTGCTTTGATATTGGCTCTTGTAACTTCCAAAGAAAGGCGATGGAGGCAAAGGATGAAATATACCAGTTTCCAAAGAGATTTTTTTCACTTTCTCTGTGGGTACAGGTTCATCTGTTATCCAGAATCCAAAATACTCCTAAATTGTCCACATTGGTGGCTGTGATAGTGTCACCTTTGCTTTCTGATTATTCAGTGCACACAGACTTTGTTTCATACACAAATTATTTAACATAGTATATAAAATGATCTTCAATCTATGTGTATAAGCTGTACATGAAACATAAATGAATTTCGCATTAAGACTTTGGTCCCATATCCAAGATATCTCATTACCTATGTATATGTAAATACAGTAGAGTCTTGCTTATCCGACATAAACGGGCCGGCAGGATGTCAGATAAATGAAAATGTTGGATAATACAGAGGCTTCTGGGAGTTGAAGTCCATATCTCTATCCTGGCAGAGATCAGTGGTGAGTGAGTTCTCCTTCTATTTGGTTTTCCAGACACAAAGAGAGAACACTCACCACTGATCTCTGGTAGATAGTACACTTAGACAAATCCTCAAGCCAACCTTCATTCTTTTCTCTTCCTACAAACTCCCGAGAAGTCACGGCCCCTCCTTCCAAGTCAGACTGAATCATTTGGGGGTGGGGGGCAGAACCATTATGCTTGGCTCCTCCTTCAGAATCTGCACAGTTGTACAGAATGGGAAGAATGAAGAAAAGTAAAAACATGGCCTCTAAATGGGAAATGCTGGAGGAAAAGGGGGGGCTGGGCATAGGATAAGACCATTCAGATAACATGGAAGGTCAGATAAGCGAGACTCTGCTGTACTGCTATTCCAAAATCTGAAAAGAAATCTATAATTTAAACCACTTCTGACCCAAGCATTTTTGGATAAGGGATACTAAACCTGTATTATGCTTGCCTGCTTCAATATGAATTAAATCACATTCATTTTTTTCATCACAAGAGCAACAAGGATGTTAAAACATGCTGTGTATAAAGCCATGAATGTTCTGTGTGCATACAATGACATATCAAAACTGAAGATCGAACGGGTTCTAAGAATCGCATTTCCCCCCGTAGAAGGATTCATTCGTGGAGGAATTGCATCAGAACTGACTGTCCTGATTTGTCTTTCAAAAACAGCCTTAATACCATATTGAAAGTTAATGAAAAATGCTTTACTTCAGCAAATACAAAAGAGCAGCGCATGCAGTTGAAAAATGCAAAAGAAAGCAAGGAAGTCTTTATGCAGACACAAAACTCAAGTCTCTGATAAGTCCAAAATAAACAGCAGTCTTACATCAGACAATGGGCAAAGAACACTAAATCCTAAGAATCGGACTCGAAGCAGGTACAATTGGAGTGAGAACATAAACATCAGGGTCGTTGTTACCAGCAAAAGCTAATTGCTTCTGCTTCTGATTTATAGCCCTGAATTCCCCATGCAAGAGGTGCTAGGGTGGCTCCCAATTACCTTGGCGTTTCTAGCAGCTATTCTAGCTTAACGCCATCTGTGCTCTCTTTCCTTTTGCCTCTCCAGAAATATGGGCACTTCCTCTTCCCCCTCCAATTCCTGAGCACTACCCTGCTCCCTTTTCCTCTTCTGAAGAGAAGGAATCCCTAAAACTGACACTCTACATGAACTATCTAGGAAAAATCAATAAGTTCTGGCAATATGTGAGAATCTTCCTCATAGAGCTTTTGGAAAAGCATGCATAGGCTTCCACTCACAAGATTTTGCATAGTTATGTTTACCTTGATTAAATAAATAATTTCACAGATCTTCTCTTGTGGTTATTGTTGCAATGCAGAACTAGATATTGTCTCTGCAAGCGATTTGCCCAAATCAATGTATGCTGAGGTAGGATGATGCACAGTTGTAGGACAGAATCACTGGGTGAGATGAAGAAGTGACTCCTGCTTTCCTGTAACCTTATTTTCCATTTAGAATCTGATAAATGGAGGGACACTTATGGAGGGAAGAATCTATATTTTATCTTTTTTTTTTCTTATTTGCAGATGAAGATCATTTATCCAAACTGTTGAATGGGAAAATGAAGTTTCCAGCACTTTGCAAGTTTTGTGATGTGAGATTAACAAACTGCAATAATGAAGGCCAGTGCAAGTCTCACTGCAACCGCACAGCTATCTGCGCAAATAATACTGAAGTATGTGCAGCTGTTTGGTAAGTTCAATCTGTCTGTGTACATGGATTTACTTCAGAACTTCCTTCAGGTACATTCATTCAATTATTACAGTATTCATAGTTTAATTGGCTTCGCAATTCATTCTGATAATAGTAGGTTTTTAAAAGTTGGATATGAAATATATTGTATTGCTAAAATTATGTTTTCTGGCATATTTCTCATCTTATAATTGCAACAATTATAACAATTATATCTTTCACTGTTAGGAATGCATGTAATGGGATTTTAAAACATATTTTATTATTATTTAACATAAAATTTTTAGATAACATTGAGCAACTATCAGACTATACAGAAACAGAGATAGTAACAAGTATACATGTTTGCACAACTAACAGAAGATGAAAGGTTCAAGTGGAATACATTGAAACACTAAAAGCTACACCTGTAACACTGTTAAATAAAAAGAACTGGTATGTTACTTCCAAGTAGTAAACAAACTCTGTCTTCTCTTTTAAAAATAATAATTCTAAGTTTTACTTTAGATACAGTATTTGTGTTTTTTGGAAAATGGCATTTATAACCTTTTGGAAATGCATCTTTTGGAGATCATAACTTTTTAGAAAAGCATGACCTTTCAGAGAAGAGACAGAAACCCTTTAGAGTAGAATCTTCTCTTGTGCTTTACAACCGGATAGAATTATGCTAGACATGCAATAGTTTCAGTTGTTAGACAGAATAACCTGTTAACTCTGATCTGTTAGGGAAAAAAAAGTTTGCTACTGCATAAAAACAGCAGTGCTTCAGAAGTGTTTTTCAGTGCCCAAAATATATATACTCTTCCTTTAAACAACTTGTTTTATATAATGCGCTCAAGAGACAAAAATGAAGTAGACTTTGATAAAAGTAACATTTTTTTTACTCGCAACCTTCATGTGTTTAGCATAAACAGGTACAAAACTTATTAGTCCAATTTCATTTAAGAACATGTCAACAAAATATATATACTGTATATATTGTGCAAGGAGGTTCCGAATTCCATTCAACTTGAAAGGCAATCCCCACTTGCTCTCATTTAATGCAAGACTATTATCTCATTAAAAATATGCATAATTTGGGACATTTGTTTGTCATATGTAATTTGCATGTTTTGAGAATTCAGGTGGTATACTGTATTTTGTAACATGATACTGTGTTGTTGTAAACATTTGTAACATGATACTGTGTTGTTGTAAACATCTTGGCTTGTTATTTTAAAATACCCATTTCTTTTTAGGAGAAAGAATGATGAAAACACAACATTGGAAACAATATGTCATGATCCAGCACAAAAGCTCCATGGGCATGAATTGACAGATTACAATTCAAAGGAATGTGTAATGTCAGAGAAGAGGGAAACTGGAGGGTTGCTGTATATGTGCTCCTGCGATGATGAGGAATGCAATGATGTACTTATTTTTTCTACAGGTATGTTGAGATTTCATGTTTAATGTGTATTTTTGTTTTGTTTTCTCCTTTTGCCCTTACTGTTGGAGTGGCAGTGGTACTGCAGAAGTTTTTTGGTGGGTTTTTGTTTTGTTTTTTGGATTTCCTCTGATTTAGATGGCATCCTTGAAGTGACTGGACTGACCTTGAGGGAGCTGGGGGTGGTAGCGTGGGCTGGTCCATGAGGTCACGAAGAGTCGGAGACGACTGAACGAATGAACAACAACAGAATTTCCTGTTTTGGAAAAAAAAAATAGCTGTCTTTTGTTACAAGGGGAAAACACTAGAAGAGTTTTAGGGAGAATCATGTCACTTAACATTTACTGCTAATACAGAGTTTCTCAAACTGTGCTCCTCCAGATGTTAACATGGTGAATGGGCTGAATGTGGAGGAATGTGTCAGATATATAGTTACGCTATATGTCTGTTCAGCAGTGTGACCAGGAACATTGTTAATATTTCAGTCTGTAAAAGCCCGAGGGCTTGTGAAAAAAAATGAGAAATTCAGTCTTGGACCTAGAGATGATGATAAAGCATGCAATGTTTTCAACAAAAATACAAAAAACTATTTTGCATTACAAAAATAGATGTGCACATTGGATTTTTTATAAGCTCTTCGGAATTTATCTGCTTAACAAAACATTCAATTCCAAATTAAAGGAAAACTAGAAACTACTCGCAAATATGCTATACCTTTTAAAAAGTAAGAATCAGTATAGGCTTCCTAGTCATCCAGCTCTGCCAGCTGTGTGTATCCCAGTTACATCTTCCAACAGTATGATGGTACACAGTTCTGCATTTTCTAATGAGCTTAAAAGTGGATTGCCAGATTTACATATCTTGGAGTAAGCTCTTATTCAGATGTGTAAATCTCATATTTTTCCACAGCTAATAAAGACAACTTATGAGACTGCCTTAAGGAGGCTTTTGCTTTGATCTTTTCTGTAATTTTTAAAACGTCCATTTTTATCTTGTCTGCCTACTTAATGATGGCCATTATCTTGGTGCTGGCAGGGCAGTCAAGCACATAATAGCCTAATAGCTGACTCTAATAATTTCATTCATGTGCTGTTTACCCACCTCTATGAAAAAATAAGTAGAAAGTTGTTTACAAAAACTAATTAAAATAAAAATCAATGACAATTTAGATTTAAAGCAACACAATGTTGCAGGTCATATTACTCTGTTGGTCGTCTGTATAGATGTGGTAGTAACATACTGGCTAATAGATGTAATCAGACTGAATTATAAAAATCATGAAATTATAAAATCTTCAGTGGATGAAATGCTTCTGTGAGAACTAGAAGCTTTGCAGTGATCATATTCTAGTGAAGAAGTTGATTTCAACCCTAGTGTATTTTGTAAGAAATGGAGCAAGCTTTTAAAGGAAACATTCTGGGAGAAAGGTGAGCTATAAATCCATGAAATAATTTAATAACTCACTCCCATTAGGCATCTATTTTCCCATATGAATATCTACATTATTCATATGGGAACTAGTTTCAGCCTGAGAACTGATTTCAGTTTGGAAGGTATTCCTATCTTTGGGAGGATCACCTTCTAGTACTGGCAGGGCCAAAAAGAATAGAGTAGAACCAAAAATATCAGCCCCTTTTAGCTGAAAACATCAATAGCCAGTTCCTTATTAGCCTTTCATAGAGGCCTTTCAGTGCTTTAGGAGAGGGCAGGGGGGTGTCCAAAACTCGGAAAGCCACCAAACAAGGATCTTACGGGAACAGGGTATGTGAATCAGGAGAAAACTATAGGATTAGTACCCAGAAGGGTTGGACTCGGCCCCAGGGCTTGCAGTTGTCCACCCCAACTTAGATCATTTGGAAACTTCTCCTAGGCTAGCCTGTGCTGGAAGTGCAGATAAACAGGGACTGAATCTGTTTTTCTTCCTAGAATTCTCTCCCTAGTAGGCTTGGGCCCAAATTAGTTTGAACAAAAGTGATTTGTAATATTCGGTGGTCTGTTTCATGTAATCCCCCCAAAACAGAACAGAGAGGAGGAAATCAAAAAGCTGGGCAAAATGGATCAAGAAAACTAGATCTCCCAGCTAATGGAGAGGATGGAGTTAAGTCTGCATTATACCTGAGGCAGAGGTCTGTCACGGGGCTCCTGGAGAAGACCCTGCAGCATCTTTTCTCCCTCCCTGGCAATGGAAAAGTTCCATTGGGCCCTGCTGGGAACTCACTTTCCCAGAAACACTTGTATGGGGCGGGCATTAAAAAGTCTCTCTCAGAGCATTATGGGAATTGAAGTTTTCTCTCTCTCTGTTTCACAGCCAATAAAAGGCCTGGTTGTGTCCATGCTTTGATTGACTGAGAATGGACAAAACTTGCAACTACAATTTCCTGAACCCTCTCTTGCAGTTTGTCTTATTTTTTAAAATGTTATGGGAAAAACTTAAACTAATTCTTAAAAAATCAGTAAATTGGTGAATTGTTCTGAAACTTGGCAGGCCTTCAGTTGTCAATGGGGTCTAAAACAGAGGTAGGTTTCATGCAGATAGGCCTTAAAATGACTGAAGATTGAGCCTTTAACGTTTTTAATTGTAGCCGAAGGGCCGAATATTTGCCGAATTAAAACAGCAAAACTCCTCCTGATTCGAGTTACAGAATGAGGGGTTAGCTGAAAATTGACCCTGGAACAGCATCCCTTTTGACCAAATTGCACACCTCTTCTCCCTAGCAAAATTCATTTGGGAACAATACTGATTATCTCTTTTGGAAGACCGCAGACGATTTCACATCGGAATTATTACTGCTGCTGGTTGTGTTACCTATAATTTTTTCTTTTTAAACTTACAACTGAAGGATTTTTACACATTCCTTCAAGTATTTTTCAGATTTTATTTTCTGGGGCCAATAAATTTATAATCAATTGAAATAAACAAATGGTTACTCCTAGATAAGTTAGAGGTTTGCATAAGTATGAAAGATCACCTGTGCTGGTAGCACTCCAAAAATGATACTTCTTTTGCATTAGAAAGTGGGGGGATAACTAACACTTCTATTTTCTCACAAGTACATTCCCCTCTCCCTGGCTTCATCTTTTGTGTTCTTTGTTCATTGAGCTTTTTAATAAGAGGCATACTCTCTGTTTTGGTTTGCTTTTCTTGCCGTATGCAAACCATACCATATGCTCCCACTACATATGTGGGAGGGAAAGTGGTCAAATTTCTTGATCTGCTATGCATTGGAAAATCAGTCGAGCAATGCTCATTACTGCAAGAGGTCTCTTGTTTCATTTGACTAATAATGGTTTTAATCATCTGTTAGTGCTCAAGGATCTGAATTCCAAAGCAACCAACACGCCCTTGTCAATTTTGGCTGGCTTTTCATATTAGTCACATTGTATTTGTGTCTTCTTAAACAGCTGAGCAAAGTTGGCATGTTGGAGTTATTTCCTGCCAATCCTTAAAATTTGACACAGGAATATTTCTAAACCCATGTGTTAATTTCTAGTATGGATAGATGGTTCTGTATAGTATACTGTTACTCTAGAACAGAAGTTATAACTGTGACCCTCCAGACATTATTGAATTGCCTTAACCAGCTAAGACAATGGAGAAAGTTAGTAGGTATTGCAATCTGCCAAATTCTATAGGGGCATAGTTGTGTGAATCTCTTTTTGGAAAAACTTTGCTGGATCATAAGAAATCTCTGAATGCTATTAAAGAGACTAAGGACTTAATCACATGGTGGGCCGAAATTTCATTGGATGCTTGCAGCACAGCTTTTATACCAAGCCCCACATCACCCATGACACAGTGCACCCATGACACAGGGCTCTGTACAACAACTGGTTTCCCATGTTCCATAACAAACAATGGGGCCAGTGTGAGGGGAATCCGCATGGCAACACTTCCCCACATATGATGGGGAAGCTTCCCTGCAAGTGAGCCAGGATGCCGAAAATGTCCCACTGCCAATTCTTTACCCAACAAATTGAAGGTAATGGGAGGAATAAAGACCAGATCAAATGAACAAAAGACCAAATGAACAAAATCTGGCTACCAGTATTAAAAAACTCAAAAATTACAGCAGCAAAACAACAGAGGGGAAACAAACAGGCATATGAAATCACTCTCAACAAAAGATTCCCCCCAGGCGCTGCCAAGCCATTGAATGCAAATCAAGGTGATCAGCTGAAACATTCACAGCTAGCCCCAGCAAACAAAAGTCCTTTGTCTCACCCTGGTCATTCCACAGATATATAAACCCATTTTTCCTAGTCCCAACAGACTTCACTACCTCTGAGGATGCCTGCCATAGATGCAGGCAAAACGTCAGGAGAAAAATTGCCTCCAGAACATGGCCATATAGCCCGGAAAAACCTACAACAACCCAAAGACCAGATCGAAATTGCAAAATATATGATAGTAGCTACCCAAACATTAGTTGCCTTAGGATGGAAAGATGAAGGGAAATGGGAATTTTAAAAATGGCTCAAATATTTATCAGAGTATATGCTCCAACATTACCTAACTCAAAGGTGAACAAAATATATGAATGGTCAGGAAAACTCAAAGTTGACGTGGAAAGAGCTTATAGCTAGAGCGAAAGGGAAAGGTAAATATAAAGAACTGAACCAAAAACTCTTCATGATCAAACAAATATAAACCAATGAGTAGAGACATAACTGTTCCCAGGGAGGAAGCAGGAGGTGGAAAATGGATAGGTATAAGTAACAGATATATAGAACTGCAAAGGAAATAATGTAATCAATAGAATGTGTTATATGTAATCAATAGAATGTGTTATATGAGGTAAATAATAATAATAATAATAAATCATTTTGTATATGCAATTGTGACATTGTTACAAATTACTTACATCTAACCAAATTATATATATATATATAGAGAGAGAGAGAGAGAGAGAGAGAGAGAGAGAGATCAACAATTTAGACAGCCTTCATCATGGACTTGCTTGTGTGCACGCACACATGCACAGAATTAGTGGAAATAGTACAAT